GGAACTGCGGACCTGACACCGCAAAGGGCTACCTTGTTAAATGCGTCAGGCTAAAACGACTTACGCCGGTTTAATCTTGAACGCGAATTCTGCGGTATCTCGCAAGGGGTTGTAATTCAACGTGGGCTCCTTCTCCGTTTACCGGCTAGCCGACCGACAGCCAGCTACTCTTACCTGGCATAAAGAATGAAATGAACCCAGAATACCTCTCCTTTCCTTCTCTTCCCGCGGATGAGGTCTTTAAGCGTGCAGACACTCTCGGCTGTTTAACCTAAAGAAGATAAACGCATTATGACCGACGATTTTTGTGAAATATAAAAAATGGGATCTAATTAGATCTAAAGTAAATCTCGTATAAAATGGCAAAGAATTTACTCGTTATGAACTAATATTAAACAAATCTACCAGTGACGTGTACCAAAGTACGAACATCATTTTTTTTTCTCAATCAACTCTGTACTCTTATTTTCTGTTTCAAAGTAAACACCGATTAACCCATTCGCTTGCAATGAGTGTTCAGATAAATGTTACTTTAACTTTCCTGATGGATTCTAGAATCATATTTTACGTTGATCACATTAATATTATTATTCCTCTTTCAAACTTCGTTGCAAATACGAAATTCCATGTAGCTGCGAGAGCTTTCAACGTTCCCTTTGTAATGCAAGTAGACACATTCGTCCGACGTAATCCTGATAACTTTTTGGTCGTGGCCGGTCATAATGCAAGTGGTACCGCGTCCAATAAACCCGGTATGAAAAACCGAGAACGTGATACCGCGAATAGGGGACGCGGTCAACAATAGGAAGCTACCTGTTAATTACATACAGTTAGAAAGACATTATCTGCTTTCTGCATTACACACAGTCGCGAGATCTCGACCGGAAGAGGTTGCATGAAGTATTAGGAGGTACGAGGGTGAAAAGGAGAGTGCGAGGAAAAGTGGAGAGAGAGAGAGAGAGAGAGAGAGAGAGATGAAGGGGGATGAGAACGCGTGGCGGAAAGACAATGCACTGGATACGAACTAATTGCCGGATTCTCCTACCATCTAGTGGACCGGGAAGATTAACTGCGCGCCCAACCCTCTCTTTCTCTACGCTCACACTCCTATTTCCTCTCTGCTTTGCCCCGCGTTCTACCACGGAACGCAGCCTCACCCCTGAGTGAGACGGTATATATAAATTAGTTGAGTTTACCTGCTTTACCGCGCGTTATTTTCTCATGATGCCACCGATAGATTTGTTGCCCGATCCTCTGAATTCGTTTCGCTAACACGGAAATAAGCGTAGTTAGAAGTTTTTTCTCTTCTTTTAGAGTTATGTCTAATCTGATTCCTTGAATCCACAAGGTCTTATCTGATTCAAAGTTGAACAATATGTATTTTGATGAGTTAACCATTTAACTCAGAAAAATTCGAACCTAGTGCATTCCCAGGTCGTTTCAATCTTCTCATGCTTATAGCAAATTTCGTTGGACATGAGATTATGACCACGAGTCTGATTCGTGATGCCCACGTATGACATGAAAAGTTCTGATAACGAGTTAGATTTGTTAAAGTACAGCGAGGAGTTAATTGAATTCTTGATCGACACTGAAGTGTTTTATTGGTCATTTTGAAAAACAGAGAAACTGGTAAAGGTTATTTTCGTCGCGAGCCCAGTAATTATCCCGTTTCGAATAATTATTTGAGGAAAAGTAGGAGTCCAACCAGGCGTAAGAAGCTTCGTTCGGTGCGGGTTATTCTAGGCAGCGTAGCGCGACGCGCGAGAAACGCGAAAAGGAGAAACGGCAACAACACCACGGCTGGCCAGGAACTGCGGACCTGACACCGCAAAGGGCTACCTTGTTAAATGCGTCAGGCTAAAACGACTTACGCCGGTTTAATCTTGAACGCGAATTCTGCGGTATCTCGCAAGGGGTTGTAATTCAACGTGGGCTCCTTCTCCGTTTACCGGCTAGCCGACCGACAGCCAGCTACTCTTACCTGGCATAAAGAATGAAATGAACCCAGAATACCTCTCCTTTCCTTCTCTTCCCGCGGATGAGGTCTTTAAGCGTGCAGACACTCTCGGCTGTTTAACCTAAAGAAGATAAACGCATTATGACCGACGATTTTTGTGAAATATAAAAAATGGGATCTAATTAGATCTAAAGTAAATCTCGTATAAAATGGCAAAGAATTTACTCGTTATGAACTAATATTAAACAAATCTACCAGTGACGTGTACCAAAGTACGAACATCATTTTTTTTTCTCAATCAACTCTGTACTCTTATTTTCTGTTTCAAAGTAAACACCGATTAACCCATTCGCTTGCAATGAGTGTTCAGATAAATGTTACTTTAACCCTTTTAGTACCGAACGACGATATATCGTCGTTCAAATTTTCAATAAATAATGAAACACAATTCGTAACGTTTTATTCTCCCTTTATTTCCGAATATGCTGCTTTTTATATTTTGTAAATATCACTTCTACTTTCGTTTTTACGAGCATTTTCGCAAACCTCTGCAAATTCGCCGATTCGGCCCGGTATTCTTCGCTTATTGTTAGGTACGTTCTTTTCGCCGGTACTAAAAGGGTTAACACGAGGATTGTTTGATTCGTGAAACCTGTACGCGTGCTCGCTGTTCTGTTACAAGCGAATGTTCTAGTCTGTGTCCACCTTTGCAGTGTTCTCTTATCTTCGTTTTCTGATTCTTGTTTGATCTTGTTTGTTCGCCCTGCATGACGCCACTGAAAAGTATCGTTCACTAGCCCAGGTATATCGATTCGTATGTAAATATTGAACGCGAGGGAGACAGATCGCTTGGAGGAAGTGAGGGGGAAAAAAGAAAGAGAGAGGAAGCGGTACACATAAGCACGGAATAAGGAAAGGCGCGAGGGGTCGGAGGGCAAGAATGGATCGTCCTCGTTATGCTCGGAGGAACTCGGCTTTCGGATGGATTTAATGGAGTGGCAGTCCGATCCGGCTCCAGACCGGACCCTGAGGACCCTTAGGATCAATTAAAGGAAATCTCTTTGGTATCGCGAATCGTTTCTATCGATTACAGTGTTTAAGCATCGGCGGAATCGTTAACTACGCTGGGAAACACTTCGTTCATAGTATCACTGTAACTCTATTCCCTCCGCACTTACTGTCTCCGTCCCGAGCTGTTTGTTTCTCTCGGGGCGGACGTTGTCTCGGTCCTTCCGAGGGCGAAGAGGAACAGTCATTTTTAACTGTCGTCTGCGGTACGTACTACAGACCTACCAACTGTGAAATCGAGACTAATCATCCTCGCTTCCGACAGATTCAATTTGCAATGATGATGTCTCTTATAAACGATTACTTATTTCGCGTGACTGCGAGTCGGGAATGAAGAACTTACATAAGTCTTTAGCACGTTGTGACTTATTGGCTTTATCCCTTTATGAAGTTTCTTATTGAAAGTAGTTATGCTTAGCATTATATTAAATTTCCTCCAATTCGAAGTCAGTGGTGATGTAATAAAATTATTGTACGAAGTACCTTAACAAGATTCCTGTGTTGTTTAAAAGAAAATGGCTAAGAAATTGGAGGAGTAGAACTTGTTAAGACGCTTAGAACGGAGATTATCGCTGTTCTAAATAATTAAGATGTACAACAGGTTGTGTCATCTTGTTTCAATTATGTCGCGTAGATAGTAATAGGAGTTTAATCGTTGGTCCATTCTCTGTCATAAATGCATTATAGTTCAGGTTGAGTTTATGTTACTTGTGATGTGATCCTCAGGGCATACTTTACAAATGCATAATAACTATTAGGTGTTGACAGTGAAGAAATCCAAGGACAGAGTTTGAATTACGCGTCTTGCGGTTTCTGTTCGAATTACCATCTAATAAAACAGTATTTATAGTAGTCAAGTACATTTGCAGCTGCGTATATCTGCCTCTAACTGACTGAAGGTCTTGAACGCTAAGCCTACTGACAACTTTTATAAAATAA